CAAATGAGAGGCTCTGCTTACTAAAAGAAATTATTGGTTTCACTCTTTCTTGCCTTTTCTTTCCCATATTTATAGTGGCTGAAAGTTCTCTTAAATCACATTGTTATATAGAATTTCTAGGAAAAAATATTTTTATCTCTTCAGGTGTTATCCACCGGAGTTGTTTTCTTCTCAACACTCCTCTACTTTGTTGAAAAAGACGAGGTAGACACACCGTTCACATCCATACCAGCAGCTTTCTGGTGGTTAGTTATTGAATATGCATAGATTAACGATATCTTTTTGATGTATGGCGCAAATCATTGCATTTTAGGGCAATTGTGACCATGACAACTGTTGGCTACGGTGACTATGTGCCAGTCACAATCCGTAAGTTTTGCGACACCTAAGCCAATTGATTTCAACTTGGATTGAAGCACACTGTTCATTTTGTACTTGTAAGTCAAGAATATCCATTTTAGCTGGAAAATTAATCGCGTCAGGAGCCATTATCAGCGGGGTGTTGGTATTAGCCTTACCCATCACAATCATCGTTGACAACTTTATGAAGGTTTCTGGGAAGTAAGTCTATTTGTTAGAGAACTTAATTCAACACATTAATTCTATAAATATAGATGAAAAGAGTTGACACTATAGCGAATGCGTTCTGAGCTAGATAGAAATAAACTTTGAGTAAATTTTAAATAAAAAGTGAAACTAGGGATTAACGTACATCAAGTGGCGTCGAAAATTCCATACGCTAATAATTCAGCGAAGGTATTGGATTTTTCATTTTTTCAGTGTTTTAGAATAGGAGCTTTTGCTATTTTAATGATCTTCAATCAAAAACTTAGTAAAGAAACTTTCATTTGGAATAAAGTTGCCTTGTTCTTTCATGAACGCAAATTGATTATCTCCCAAAGCACTTATGAACTATAATAAAAATATTATTATGATACAAGTTCTACTAATGTCTGTTCACTTGGTAGATTAAGAGGATGTTAATCACTAGAAAACTAGAGAGAAGAAAACGCTAAGAATTTTTGGCACAGGTATGACCAACATGCTTGAGGCGATGGAGGGATGTAA